GCAAAATCGCGAACCCTTGTATTTAAGTATTCTGTCCGGCACTTCAATTTATGCGGAAACTTAGCCGCATCTGCGGCGTCGCAGAAGCGATAACATACCCGCTTCTGCGGCTTCCCTTGCTCTTGCGGTCCCTTTCTCCGCTCATGCAGGCTCGCTTCTGCGAGCCTCTAAGCCGCTTCTGCGGAACCCAGCTCACCTGCCCAATTACACTTCTGCGGTCCCCCTACCGGATCTGCGGTCACGCAGGTGCAGCAATTACCTCGCACCTGCGGCCATTTTCACACTCTCCTCCAAACTCGCACCTACGCAACCCAGCCCACACCTACGATCCAAGCTACGCAGGTGCAGTTACACAAGTAGAGTCCAGCTTCAACAATCACTCAACTTTAACTTTTGATTCGTTAACCATCCGGAATCAACCTGAGGCCCCCGGGACCTCAACCAAACATACCAACAAGTCTTAAAATACGATACGAACTTAATCGATCCCTCAAATCACATCAAACAACATCAATAACATGAATCGCACACCAATTTAAGCCTATTGAAACTAAGAAATTCCAACTTCGGCAAACGATGCTGAAACCTATCAAATCACGTTCGATTGACCCCGAATTTTGCACATAAGTCACAAATGACATTACGGATCTACTCCAACTTCTGAAATCGGAATCGGAACAGGATATCAAAAAGTCCACTCCCGGTCAAAACTTTTCAAAAATCCGGCTTTCGCTATTTCAAGCCTTATGACCACTACGGACCTCCAAATCATAACCTGGACACGCTCCTAAGTCCAAAATCACCCAACGGAGCTAACGAAACCATCAAAACTCCATTCTGGGGTTTTTTACTCATAGGTAAACACCCGGTCAATTATTTCAACTTAAGTTTTCAACCTTGAGACTAAGTGTCTCATTTCATTCTAAAATCCCTCCGGACCCGAACCGACTGCCCTGTCAAGTCACCTAACAATTATAGAGTACAAAATAATTAGTAAATGGGGGAACAGGTTTACAACTCTCAAAATGACCGGCTTGGTCCTTATAACCTTGGATGACAATCCCCGAGTGGGGGTGATCTCTTGGATCCGGATAGAGGCAGCCCTTGGGCTCAATATCTATCCTGAAGGAACAAAATATACTAGTCTTAAGGGACAAAATATGTATCTGCAATCTAGAAATTTTCTTTTATTTCTTTGCGCAACATGCAAGATTGCAAATGTGTGCAAGATTTGTGTTATGGCTTAAGTGGTATATGCGGGCACAGTTCATTTGACCATTTGGCCCTTACAATAAATCTTATCCACCAAGCCCATACTGTTCAAGAACAAAGTTTCCTTCTTTGCTAAAATCATTATCCGAGGGTGATGGCCCCCAGTATTTGAGGTCGATCGTTGAGAGGGCTCGGATACTGCTGATGTGACTCTCGACTTCGATTCATAACCGGTCTTCAATTCTAAGTTAGCACGATCTATTGTTGCCTCGTTAAAAACCTTGTCGAAAGACCTATTTGGGACAAAACCGGTTCAAAGAAAAAAGAGTGCAACGAGTGCTTTCGAGCCTAATAGCTGCATCATTCTTTGGTTGTTTCCTGCAAGTGTTAGTCAAATTTGTAATATATGTAAAGAAAAGAATGGATGGGGTCGTACCTTAGCAGTAGTATCATTTTAAGTGGGTTATGTTCCAGTTGTTCAGTAGTCGCTCACCTTTCCCTGCTTCGAGTTTGTATGATCCTTTTCTAGTAATCTCGATAATTCGATATGGACTTTTCCAATTTGGCCCCAGCTTCCCTTCGTTCTGGTTCCGGGTATTCAGTGTCACCTTTCTTAACACCAAGTCCCCGATATTGAAGTGTCGTAGGTTGGCTCTCCGATTGTAATATCTTTCGATCCGTTGTTTTTGGGAGGTCAACTGAACGAGGGAGGCCTCGCACCTCTCATCCAATAGTTCCAGGTTCATGCTCATGGCCTAATCGTTTGACTCTTTGGTCGCATATCGAAACCTAAAACTCGGTTCTCCTACTTCTACCAGTATTAGCACTTTTTCATCGTAGACCAGCGAGAACGGGGTGGCCCCGGTACAAGATTTTGAGGTTGTACGATATGCCCACAGGACTTCGGGAAAAACTTCCTTCCATTTTCCTTTGGCGTCGGTCAATCTCTTCTTAAGGTTTGGAGTATGGTCATGTTCGTAGACTCTGCCCGCCTGTTTCTACTAGGGTGATAGGGTGTCTATAGGATCCTTTTGATCTTATAGTCCTAAAAATATTTGCTCACCTTACTACCGATGAACTGCTTCCTATTATCGCAAACGATCTCGGCTGGCATTCTGAACCGGCATATTATGTGGTCCCAAATAAAATTAATAACTTCTTTTTCCCTGGCTTTCTCAAATGCCTAGGCTTCCACCCATTTAAAAAAATAGCCAGTCATAAATAACATAAATTGAGCCTTACCAAGTGCCCATGGTAGGGGACCGACGATGTCCATTACCCATTTCATGAATGGCCAGGTGACAAGACTGAATATAGTAGTTCCCTGGGCTGATGAATCATTGATGCGTGCCTCTGACATCCGTCGCATTTTTGCATGAACTCCTTCACATCTTTATCCATGTCGATCCAGTAGTAGCCGACTATTATTATCTTACGAACAAACAATACGACACCCGAATGGTTCCCGATGTGCCTTCGTGAACTTCCCTCAAGACATATTTGGTATCTCTCGGTCCCAGACATTTGACGAGTGGGCCATTGAACGTTCTCTTGAATAGGGTGTTGTCTTCGGATAGGTTGAACCTGGCCGCCTTTGTGCACAGAGCTCTCGATTCTTTGGGATCTAAGGGCAGCTTCTCGGTCTTCAGTTAATATATATACTTGTTTATCCCATCCTAGGTTAAGCTTGTCTAGTTTATCTCGGCGTGGCCTTCTTTCACTACCGATTTCATGAGTTGTACGACCGTTACTGAGTTGAACTCATCGTCATTAACCGACGATCCCAAGTTAGAAAGAGCTTCGGCTTCCCTGTATTGATCCTGAGGTACATGTTGCAGGGTCCACTTCTTGAACCGATGTAGTGTTACCTGTAGTTTATCCAGGTACCTTCACATTCGTTCCTTTTTGAATTCGAATGTCCCATTGCCTTGGTTCACCAGAAGGAGGGAATCACACTTAGCTTCGATCACCTCGGCCCCCATGCTTTTAGCCAGTTCGATACCTGCAATCATGGCCTCATACTCAGCCTCATTATTAGTCAATTTTACAGTTCTAATAGATTACCTAACTACATTACCCGACGGTGGATTCAACATGATGCCAAGTCCGGACCCCTTTGCATTCGAGCCACCATCCGTAATGAGGGTCCACATCCCTGAGGAAGTTCCCGAGTTAAACAACAATTCCCTTTTGACCTTGTGTATTAGGGTCGGCGTGAAGTCAGCCACGAAGGCCGACAAAATTTGAGATTTGATGGCGGTTCGGGGTCGATATTTGATATCGTATCCGCTGATTTCCACGGCCCATTTGGCCAATCATCTCGAGATCTTGGGTTTATGCATTATGTTTCTCAACGGGTAAGTAGTCACAACACATATGGGATGACATTGAAAATATGGTTTTAACTTCCTAGAGGCCCTTAGCAAAGCGAGCGCCAATTGTTCCAGGTGAGGATATCTAGTTTCGGCCTCGTCTAGAGTCCTGCTAACATAATAGATAGGGAATTGCGTACTTTCCTCTTCCCGGACCAGGACTCCACTAACCGCTATCTAGGATACCGCTAAGTACAGGTACAATTGCTCGTCTTCCTTCGGAGTATGAAGCAAATGCGGGCTCAAAATGTATTGCTTGAGTTCTTACAAGGCTTGTTGGCACTCCGGGGTCCATGAGAAATTATTGTTCTTATTCAATAACAAGAAGAATCGTTGGCTCTTGTCGGAGGACCTTGAAATAAATCGACCCAAGGCGGTTATGCGCCCGGTTAACTTTTGAACGACCTTGACATTGTCCACACGGTAATGTCCTTTATGGCTTTAATCTTATCAGGATTGATCTTGATTCCTCATTTGGATACCATGAATCTGAGGAATTTCCCGGACCCGACTTTGAATGCGTATTTCTCCGGGTTTAGCCATATTGTATTTGTTCAATATGTTAAAGGTTTCCTGCATATGTTTCAAATGGTCTTATGCTCGCAGGTACTTAACTAACATGTCGTCAATATAAGCCTCAATTGCTTTTCCTTTTTGCTCTTCGAACATCCGATTTACTAGGCGTTGGTAAGTGAAACCGCTATTTTTTAGTCCGAATGGCATTACATTATAACAGTAGGTGCCATATTTAGTGATGATGGATGTTTTTTCCTGGTTGCCTAGGTCCATCTGAATTTGGTTGTACCCAGAATAGGCATCGAGAAAGTTGAGGATTTTGTGGTCGGCCGTTGCATCGATCATGCGATCGATGTTAGGCAAGGTAAAAGAGTCCTTGAGGCATGCCTTGTTCAAGTCTTTATAGTATACACACATCCTTAATTTATTCCCCTTTTTAGGGACTACTACTTAGTTTGCTAACCAATCCAGGTACTTAACTTCCCGAATAGATCCTATTTTAAGGAGTTTAGATACCTCATCTTTGATGAATGGATGCTTGACTTCTGACTGAGGCCTCCTTTTCTGTTTAACTGGGTAGAAATTCGAATCCAGCCTCAGCTTGTGAGTAGTTATTTCCGGTGGGATCCTTGTAATGTCCAGGTGGGACCATGCGAAGCAATTTATGTTAGCTATAAGTAATTCAATAAGTTTTTTACTGAGCTTGGGACTTAATCTCGTGCCCAGGTATACCTTCCGATCGGGCAGGTGCTCGATCAATATGACTTGCTCCAGCTCCTCGACCGTTGATTTGGTGGCATCGGTATCGTCGAGGGCTATGAAACACTTGGGAACTCTGTAGTCGTCATCCTCGCCCATCCCTTACTTTTCTGGCTCGGTCGGGACCGATATCGGTGATTACTATTTGGTTTCTTCCTTGGTGACTGAGCTCGGGTTCTTTGATGTCGACAGTGTAGATATCATGACCACCTCATCGACCGCAAACATCTCTTTTGCAGCCGATTTCTCTTCGTAAACCGTTTTAATCCCTCCCGGTATTGGGAATTTCAGCACCTGGTGAAGTGTCGAGGGTACTGCCCTCATGTTGTGAATCCATAGCCTCCCGAACAAAGAATTATATCTCATGTCTCCTTTGATCACGTAGAACTTTGTTGCTTGAACGGTTCCGGTGGTGTTCATCAATAGGGTTATCTCCTCTTTAGTGGTCTCACATGCCATGTTGAGTCCGTTAAGAACTCGGATTGCATCCACAATTCTCGTAGATCCAGTTGTTCTATGACCCTCGGTCTGATGATATTGGCCAAGCTACCTGGATCAATTAACACACGGTTAACTCAAGATTTATTTTTGAGTACAGATATTACTAGTGCATTATTATTTGGTTTCACGATGCCTTCAACGTCCTCGTTGTTGAAAGATAGTTTCCTTTGGCATGTAATCTCGAGTCTATTTTTCCGTTGTGATGGACACTTTGGTGCGCTTTAACATCGACCCCTAAGGGATGTCGGCCCCACCAATGATCATGTTAATGACGTGTTGAGGTTCCTCTTACTCGATCTGCTTATTGCAGTCCCTATTCCTGAAATGAATTTTGACTTGATCGCCTAGGAACTCTCGGAGGTGCCCGTTGTTGAATAACCAGGTTACTTTCTCTCTCAGTTGTCGGCAGTCTGCAGTTTTGTGGCCATGAGTGCTATGATATTTACACATTAGGTTGGGGTCCCTTTAGACAGGATCGGACTATAAAGGTCGAGGCTACTTGGTATCTTTGATGCGTCTGATGGAAGATACGATGGCAACAACATCGACGTTGAAGTTGTACTCCGATAGCCTCGACGCTTCCTTAGGCCCGATGGGCTTGTCAAAACATCTTTTGCTCATCAGTCCCCCATTATGTTGACCATGGTCACTTCTCCTGTCACTTCTCACAATGTTTCATCCAGGCCCATTACCTCTTCGATCTCCATTGTATGATCATACAGGTCTCTATTTGATCTTGGTTCACGATCAATGTCTCTTTTGGATCTGTCACTAACTCTAACGGGATAAACAGACCCGGAAGGGGCCCCAAGCTGATCATCTTCAACCTTGATTTTTGATTGGTACCGGTTATGGATGTCGGCCCAAGTTACCTCCGGGTATTCTATCAGATTTTTCTTCAGCGGTTGTCAAGCCAATGAGCTTCGAGCATTGAGTCCTAGGGTGAAAGATTGAACGTCCCAATCGTCTGCGACTGGAGGCAGGTCCAGTCGTTCTATTTGAAACTGGGACACGAATTCCCTAAGCATCTTATTATCTCTCTGCTTCAATTTGAAAAGGCCTGACTTCCTAGTCTCAACCTTAATGGCCCTGGCATGTGCTTTCACGAAGGCGTCTGCAAGCATATCAAATGAGTCAATAGAATTAAGGGGGTAAGTTGTGATACCATATCATAGCTCCTTTTGACAAACTCTCTCCGAACCTTTTCAACAGGACGGACTTGATCTCATCATCTTCTAAGTCGTTCCCCTTGATGGTGCACGTGTAGGAGGTCATATGTTCACTTGGGTTAATTGTTCGGTTGTACTTAGGAATTTCGGGCATGCAGAACTTCTTTGGGATAAGTTTCGGAGCTGCACTCGGAAGGAAAGGTTTTCGAACAAACTTCTTAGAATCCAGGCCCTTCAATATCGTTAGTGCTCCTGGGATTTGGTTGACCCTGGAATTGTAGGTTTCTACTTTTTGTCATTGGCTTCAATTTTCTTTTGTCCCGATTCCACCCGTATTGTCAGTTCCATAAACATCTTTATTATCTCGGTGATTTCCCCTGGTTCAGCTTCACTCTGCCTTTCTACGATTGGTTCATTTCTATTAGCGTTTTTCCGGGATAGTTTGGGCTTGACTCTGCTGGAGGCGTGACTCTGGTTCTGCAACTGGGCTATCACTGCTTGTTGAGCCTGCAACATTTCGAAGATTACTCGCAAGTGACTCCCCCACGGATGCTGTTCTCAAGATCGATAGGCAAGTTTGTACTTGATCGCCATATGTGAGTTAGCGTCGATCAGGTCAGCGGCCGAAACTCCATTGGGATAGACATGAGGCACCTCGTTACTAGGTACCACATTATGGTTCTCACCATGGTTCCCAGAATCAACATCCACGTTCAAAGGGGCAGATTGGGTGTTCGACATTTTAAGCTTTGACATGAAATTAAAGACTTCAAAGAACAAGTGAAAATAGGGCGTGTTATGGAAATTTATATCAAATTGACAATATTATCCTTAGCCCCACGGTGGACGCCAAACTGTTTACCCTCAAATACGGATAATAATTAATTATTTTTGTGGTGTTAAGGATACGTGGATTAATTCGATACGAATGATAAGTTGCGTTAGATTAAACTAATAAATGAGGTAATTAATTATCAAACCACTTGAGGAGGGTGATTCCAGACTTAACATCAGCCTTAATGAAATATCCGACCTCGATCCCAGACTCACAATGATCAAGCACTGATGAACAAGAATAAGAACTTTGAATAACAGAGAAAATAATAGTATATTGCCTTGATATATGTGTTACAGTGTCTAATGAATAATCAGACCCCCCCCTTTAGGGGAGTCCTACCCTAGGTACAATTCCACAAAAGGTAAAAATCTTTCATTTAACTAATCACCGGATTTTCGCTGGTACGTGCCGAGATCCGCGCCGTGTACCCGGCTGGTCACGGATATCACGGCCTTCTGTTAATCGTGCTCGGTTGCCTGACAACGCTCTCTGAAGTATTTTGGGATTTGGACCGATCCCGAGGTCATGGCCCCGATATTCCCGAGGGTGGGCGTTGTGCCCCCGGACCCTGGCCCGATGAGACCCTCGCCTTGATTCCGGTTTTTTATCATCACGTCTCTTGCTCGATTTAACTTATTGGAAATAAGGGTGTCCCATGGGCCCGATTTTACCCGTATACATGGAGTGATTATGGATTCGAACTGTGGAATCAGCATTACACCCTCTTGGGGTGCGGCCTCTCCCGGACCCTACTTGAAGCATGATGTAACGATCCGACTTGTCGTTTTAAGAATTTATGCCCCGTTCAGTGACTTAAGGTCTCGAGCAGCTTCGCAATATGTATTATGACCCGCGGGTGTGGTCAAGTTTGATTTACTGAAGATTCTGAATTAAATTAAAAGAACAATCCTTATTTAGAAGCTTAAATGGAAAGAGTTGACCGGAGAGTTGACTTTTGAGTAAATGACTCCATAATAGAATTTTGATGATGTCAATAGCTCCGTATGGTTATTTTGGACTTAGGAGCGTGTCTGGAAAATTATTTGGAGGTCCGTAGTGGAATTAAGCTTGAAATGGCGAAAGTTGAATTTTTGGAAAGTTTGACCGGGGGTTGACTTTTTGATATCGATGTCGGAATCTGATTCTGGAAATTTGAATAACTTTGTTATGTCAATCATGACTTGTGTGCGAAATTTGAAGTCATTCCGGATTGATTTGATATGTTTCGGCACAAGATATAGAATTTGAAAGTTCAAAGTTCATAGATTTTGATTTGAGGGCGATTCGTCATTTTGATGTTGTTTGATGTAATTTGAGAATTTGACTAAGTTCTTATGATGTATTAGGACTTGTTGGTATATTTGGTTGAGGTCCCGGGGGCCTCGGGTGAGTTTCGGATGCTTAACGGATCAAAATTTGGACTTGGTAAACTGCTGAAGAATGCTGGTTTTCAGTCACTAGTTTCCTTCTATGCGATCGCGTGAGAAGCTCCGCGATCGCATAGGCTTGTTTGGGCTGAGGTGAGAATTGTTCTATACGATCGCGTAAAGGCACCCGCGATCGCGTAGGCTTGTTGAGGCAGTGTCGATTTTTGTACTTCGCGATCGAGTGAGGTCAACCGCGATTGCGTAGGTTGGGCCAGTCCATGCTACGCGAATGCGCGGGGAATGCCGCATTCGCATAAGGGAACTTGCGAGGAAGCTGGCCCATGCGTTTGCTCTATGCGATCGCGTGAAGAGCGTTGCGATTGCGTAAAGCTGGGATCCTACGCAACGCGATCGCGTGAAGGACACCGCGATCGCGTGAAGGACACCGCGATCGCGTGGGGTCTTTTCTGGGCAGTGAAAAAATTATGCTTTGCGATCACGTGTGTTTGTCTGTGATCGCGTAGAGCAAATGACTGGGCAGAGAGTTTAAGTTCTGAAAATGGGATTTCTTCCCATTTTCTATTTTTACCGATTTGGAGCTCGGATTGAGGCGATTTTTGGGAGATGTTCAGAGAAAACAATGGGGTAAGTGTTCTTAACTCAATATTGGTTAAATTACCCGAATCCATGGTTGTTTTTAACATTTAATGGGTGAATTAAGTTGGAAAGATTAGAAAACCCTCTTGGTTAATTTTAAGATTTGAGGGTCGAGTTGATGTCAGAATTAAGTAAAATTGGTATGGCTAGACTCGTGGTTGAATGGGCTTTCAAATTTTGTAACTTTTGTCGGGTTCCGAGACGTGGGCCCCACGGATAATTTTTGAGTTAAATTTCGGATTTTGTTGGAAAATTAGTATTTCCATATGGAATTTATTCCTATAATTAGTATTTACTGAATTGAATTTAATTTAAATAAATTTGAGATGTCTAGAGGATTTATTCAAGCAAGACGGCTATTTTAAAATTTCGGCATAACTTCAAAAAGGTAAGTGTCTTGCTTAACCTCGAGTGGGGGAATTACCCCTTAGGCATCGAGTATGATGTGCCATTTGTGAAATGTGAAAAGTCGTGTACGCAAGGTGACGAGTACGTACTCGGACTTATATGTGCAAATTTTATTGAGTTAAAGTCTTGGGCATATTGTGTAGTAAATTGGATAATTGTCGGCATTTACTTAGTCATCTGTTTGCCATACTTCAATTCGCATTTATTGAATTTATTTTTATATGATGATTTGATATGCATGTTACCTGTATATTTATGTGAATTCCGTGAGTTGATGGTTTGATATTCGTGGGATTTAATTTCATTATGGATTTTTCCTCTACAAATAATTAATTAAATGAACTTAAGAAGAGGTGTTAATATAATTATCTAAATCTGGATTAATGAATGTGTGCCCTATGTTGATTATTTTTCTATCTCTGTTGATTGTTTTTGAGGTTTTATATATACATTATGTGGGCCTTGGTCTATTTGTTGTGAAATTAATTGATTTTGTTATATCCTTGAAATTTGTTGTGGCCATTGGGCAAACTATAATGTGAATTGATTTTGTTATGTTGTTGTGATAATTTGCCATGTAAATTGTTGTGTTGTGTGAGTTATTATTTTGAGGAGATAAGGGTGGCATTTCACTATTTATATTATATAGGTATAAGGATGACATTTCACTGTTGTTGTATTTGTTGGAATATTGTCTGGACGGAGCGATAATGGAGGCTATATGAGTGATAAGGGTGGCTATAGGAGCGATAAGGGTGGCTATTGATATTGTCAGGGCGGAGGGATAAGGGCAGCTATAGGAGAGATAAGGGCGGCTATAGGGGAGATAAGGGTGGTTATTGTCAGTGACGATATTTTATGATGTGGAGTTGTGGTGTCGGTGATTTCATGTGATGTTGTGATTTTTTTGTGTTTATTTTTATACCTTGTGCAATTGTCTTGTTGTTGGTAAATTGATAATAATCTGATTTATGTTGAAATTGGGAGCATGTGGCTATTGCCAGGCGGATTATAAAATGAAACGTGGGCACGAGGTGCCGTGAGTAAATAATGAGGATATTGGCACGTGAATTGTCCGGGCAGTTGTGATATGAAATGTGGGCACGAGGTGCTGTGATTTAATGATAATGATATTTGGCATGTGAATTGTCCATGCAGTTGTGATATGAAATGAGGGCACGAGGTGTCAGGGAAATATGATGATTTAATTATGGGCACGTGGTGCCGTAGAAATATGAAAAATGGGTTGAGACCCGTGTTTAGGAAAAATATGAAAATAGGTTGAGACCCGTATTTTTATGATTATGAAATGAGGTGTCACATGGTGACTTTTTAATTGAAATTATTATATTCAAAAATATTTATTTGGAAGGATTTTTATTTAAAAAGAATTATATGAAATAATTATATTTGAAAGGTTATTAATTGAGAAGATTATATTTGAAAGAGAGTTATTTGAAAGACATTTATTTGAAGAACTTCATTTAATTGAGTGTAATTGTATTTATTAATTGTTGAGCGATATTAATGGTATTCTTGTTGTCTGCTGTGCATATCACTAGTTGTTTTATGTTGCCCTTATTGTTATTTATTTCCTATTATTTTGTATATTATATTGCACAGGTTATTAGACTAGTGAGTGTCTTGATTGTACCTCGTCTCTACTCCACTGAGGTTAGTCTTGATACTTACTGGGTACCGACCGTGGTGTACTCATACTATACTTATGCACATTTTTATGCAGAGCCAGATATTGGAGATATAGGACTTGAGCAGAGTTAAAGCGGGATCGTAAGGATTCAAGGTAGAGCTGCTTAGTCGTCATAGTCCCTTGGTGTCTTTTCATTTCATTGAACTGTTAATTTGTAATTAAACAGTATTGTATATTCGGTCTTCGCGATCATTCCATATATTCAGTTAGGGTTCGTGACTCAGTACTATCAGTCTTGGGAGGTTGTAAATACATATTTGTTCCGCTGTTAGTTTTGATTACTTATTTAATAAAAATAATGGCTTCAAAATGTAATCAAAATCGGCTTACCTAGTCTTAGAGACTAGGTGCCATCACGACGCCTGTAGTGAGATTTTGGGTCATGACAAGTTGGTATCAGAGCTCTAGGTTCATAGGTTTTACGAGTCACGAACGAGTCTAGAAGAGTCTTGCGGATCGGCACGGAGGCGTTTGTACTTATCTTCGACAGGCTACAGAATTGTTAGGAAATTTTCACTTCTTTCATTCATGTCGTGCATAATTTGTTGAATTTGGAATTTGAGCCTTTGTATCTCTATTCTCTCACAGATGGTGAGGACATGTGCTACCGGGTTAGCTGAGCAGGCATCTGCACATACTACCAGTGCGGTAGGAGGCCGGGGCCGAGGTACAGGCTGAGGCAGAGGTCAAGGAAGGGCACGTGCCGCGACTAGAGCACCTGTCAGAACAATAGTTGAGGAGCCGCCAGTAGCTCCAGTTG